AAAGCTAGATTATGAATGCAAACTGGCACAGAATATAAAAAACAGATAGTAAAAGTTTTTATAAACACATAATATGGAAAAGCGTGGCTAAAGTGGACGTCAGTCCCTTGGAGGATGAGTAGGGGGAATTAATATTGGATAGTGCTGAAATGGCCGAGGCCTTGGATGATTATTTTGTGTCAGTCTTCACACCGGAAGATGTGTCTAACATGCCAAAGAATGATGTTAAGGATACGATGGGAGGTGAGGACCTCAATTCAATTGTCATCACTAAAGGGGTAATTCTGAGCAAACTAGAGGGTCTAAAAGGTAGATTAAGTGCCCTGGTCCTGACGGAGTGCATCCCAGGGTCCTGAAGGAAATAGCGGAAGTTAGAGTAGATGCGTTGGTGGTAATTTACCAAAATTCATTTGATTCTGGGCAGATCCCAGCGGACTCGAAGACAGCAAATGTCACGCCGTGGTTTAAAAAGGATGTAGGCAAAAGGCAGGTAACTGCAGGCCAGTTAGCTTAATGTCTGTGGTCAGCAAAATGCTTGAGGCTATCATTAGGGAAGGTATAGCGAGACATCTGGATGCAAAGGGTTCCATTGGGCAGACACAGCATGGATTCAGGAAGGGAAGGTCCTGTTTGACAAACTTACTGGAGTTAAGGATATAACAATTGCGGCGGATAGAGGGGAACAGGTGGATGTCGTGTACTTGGAATTCCAGAAGGCGTTCGATAAGGTACTGCATAAAAGACTCATCCATAAGATAAGAACGCATGGAGTTGTAGGGAATGTATTAGCATAGATAGAGGACTGGTTAACCAATAGAAGGCAGACACTTTGGATAAATGGGTGTTTCTCTGGTTGGAGATCAGTGTTGAGCGGAGTGCCGCAGGGGTTGTTGTTGGACCCACAACTGTTCATGATATATATAAATGATTTGGAAGAGCATACCGACATCTAACTTTGCTAATGACACTAAATTGAGTAGAAAGGCAAATGATGCAAAGGATGCGGAGGGTCTGCAGAGATTTAGATAGGTTAAGTGATTGTATTCCATTTGCCAGACCCTTGCCCAATGTTGGTAAATGTGAAGTCATCTAGTTTGGAAGTAAAAAATAATAGTTCCAATTTTTATTTAAATGGTGAGAGATTGCAGCATATTGTTGTAGAGAGAGACTTAGGAGTGCTTTGTACATGAATCGCTAAAAGTTGGTTTACAGGTGCAGCAGGTAATCAGGAAGGCAAACGAAATGTTGGCTTTCATTGCTTGAGGGATTGAATATAAGAGCAGGGAGGTTCTGCTCGAATTGTAAAGGTGCTGGTGAGGCCGCACCTGGAATATTGTGCGCAGTTCTGGTCTCTGTACTTGAAGAAGGATATACTGGCTTTGGAGTCAGTTCACCAGGTTGATTCTGGAGATGAGGGGGTTACCCTATGAGGAGAGGTTAAGCCACCTGGGACTGTACTCGCCAGAATTTAGAAGAATGAGAGGAGATCTTATAGAAACATATAAAATTATGAAAGGGATAGATAAGATAGAGGCAGGTAAGCTGGTGGGAGAGACTAGGACTAGGGGACATGGCCTCAAGATTAGGGGGAGTAGATTTAGGACAGAGATGAAGAGGAACTGCTTTTCCCAGAGAGTGGTGAACCTATGGAATTGTCTGCCCAAGGAAGCAGTAGAGGCAGCTTCAGTAAATATATTTAAGACACTGTTGGATAGATTTTTGCATGGTAAGGGGATTAAGGGTTATGGGGATAATGCAGGTAGGAACAGCTGAGACCACGGATAGATCAGCCATGATCTTACTGAATGGCAGAGCAGTCTCAACGGGCCAAATGGCCTACTCCTGCTTCTATCTCTTATGAACTTACAAAAGGAAGGACTGTAAGAAAAGGATATGGCTGATTAAGGAAATAAGGGAGGCTATCAAATTGAAAGATAAGGCATACGAAGTGACAAAGACCAGTGGGAAACTAGAAGACGCGGACAACTTTAAAAATCAACAGAAAGCCACAAAAAAGGCTATAAAGAAAAGTAAGATAGATTATGAGACTAAACTTGCTTAGAATTTAAAGACAGACAACAAAAGTTTCTATGAATATAAAAACTAAAGAGAGTGGCTAAGGTAAACATTGGTTCTTTAGAGGATGAGAAGGGGGATTTAATAACAGGAAATTACGAAATAGTTGAGGCATTGATCAGGTATTTTGTGTCAGTCTTCAAATAACAAATAACTTGCCAGTAATTGATGACAAAAAGACTAATGTAGGTGAGGACCTAGACACGATCATTATCACGAAAGAGGTAGTGTTGGGCAAGTTAATGGAGCTAAACATAGCCAAGTCTCCTGGCTCTGATGGAATGCATCCCAGGGTACTAAAAGAGATGGCAGGAGTAACAGCAAATGATCTCATGGTAATTTTCCAAAATTTGCTAGACTCTGGGCAGTTCCAGCAGATTGGAAAACAGCCAATGTGACGTCACTTTTCAAAAAAGGAGGTAGACAAAAGATGGGGAGTTATAGACCGGTTAGTTTAGTGGGGAAAATGCTTCAATCTATCATCAATGAAGAAACAGCAGGACATCTAGATAGAAATTGCCACATTGGGCAGACGGGCCATGGGTTCATGAAAGGCAGGTCATGCTTGACTAATTTGCTAGAATTCTACGAAGGCGGTGGACAACAGGGATCCAGTAGATGTAGTGCATCTGCATTTTCAAAAGGCATTTGACAAGGTGCCACGTAAAAGGCTGCTGCATAAGTTAAAAATGCATGACGTGATAGGCAATGTATTGGCATGAACTGAGGATTGGTTAACTAACAGGAAGCAAACAGTGGGATAAATTAATGCTTTTCTGGTTGGTGAGCAGTAACTGGTATGTGCCTCAGGGATCAGTGTTGGGACTGCAATTGTTTACAATTTACATAGATGATTTGGAGTTGGGGACCAAATGTAGTGTGTCAAAGTTTGCAGATGACACTAAGATGAGTGGTTCGGCAAAGTGTGCAGAGGACTCAGAAAGTTTGCAGAGGGATATAGATGGTTTAAGTGAGTGGATGAAGGTATGGCAGACGGAATTCAATGTTGATAAATGTGAAGTCATCCATTTTGGTTGGAATAACAGTAAAAGGGACTATTACCTGAAAAGTAAAAAATTGCAGCTTGCTGCTGCGCAAAGAGGCCTGGATGTCCTTGTGCATGAAATTCAGAAGGCTGGTTTGTAGGTACAATGGGGAATTAACAAGGCAAATGGAATTTTATCCTTCATTGCTAGAGGGATTGAGTTTAAAAGAAGGGAGGTTAAGTTGCGGCTATATAGAGTGCTGGTGAGGCCACACCTGGAGCACTGTGTGCTGTTTTGGTCTCCTTACTCGAGAAAGGCACTGGAGGGAGTGCAGAAGAGATTCATTAGGTTGATTCCAGAGGAGAGAGGGTTGGCTTATGAGGAGAGGCTGAATAGACGGGGATTATAATCATGGGAATTTAGAAAAATGAGGGGAGATCTTATAGAAACATAGAAAATTATGAAGGGAATAAGATAGAAGGAGGGAGGTTGTTTCCACTGGTGAGTGAAATTAGAACAAAATTAGGGGGACCAGATTTAGGACTGAAATGAGGAGAATCTGCTTCACCCAAAGGGTGAATTCCCTGACAGTGAGTAGATGAGGTTTCCTCATTGAACATTTTTAAAGCTTAGATAACTTTCTGAATAGTAAAGAAATTAAGGGTTATGGTGAGAGGGTGGGTAAGTGGAACTGAGGCCATGAAAAGATCATCCATGATCTTACTGAATGGCAGAGGATTCACGAAGGACCAGATGGGCTATTCCTGCTCCTGCTTCTTATGTTCCCAAATGTGATCCCTCCTTCCCACTAGTTAAAGTTCTCTATACTGTCCTGATTACACAACTTGCCAGAACACGTTTTCCAGCACCATTCAGTTGATGACTGTTCCATTTTCCCCTGTATTGATCCCAGTGTCCTATAAATTGAAACCCATTTCTCTCAAAGCAACCTGAGAGTTGCACGTTTATCTTTTTAATCTTATTTACTCCACGCCAATTTGCCTGTGACTTAAGTAGTAATCCTGAAATCAAAACCTTTGAGATTCTGCTTTCTAATTTAGCTACTAGATGGTCATAATCCCTCAGCCGGAACCTCTTTCCTAGTTCAATTTACATCAGTAGTACCTTATTGGATTACAACCACTGGATCCTTTCCCTTCCACTGCAGTTCTCCTCCAGCCCAAAACAGATATCCTGAATCCTGGCATCAGGTAGGATACACAGCTGTCTGGATTTCTTCTCAACTGTCCAGAACTGTGTTAATTCCCCTGACAATACTGTCTTCCACTCCTGCAAAATTACTTTCAACTATACGCCTGCTCCAGTCCTATTCACTCCTTTCTAGATTATGCAATCATACAGTTAGTTCCTGAGAAGTACAGACAAATCCCTAAATCCAAGATCCTCAAGCGTCTGTGAGGAATGATTAACAGTATTACATTCAAAAGTATGTTTATGTCAAGTTGCCAAACGAGTGACAAATGTGCCAAGATAAATGTCCAATGGCTCAAAACTTTCTCTCCAGCTTTCAGTCCCATATTGTTTTGGAGCAGGATGGATCTTCTCAGTCAGTTTAGATCAAACATTGTTTCTTCAGTACAATGTTCAGCAGGACAATTGCTTAGCTTGCTGTCATTACTCTCATAATTTTCTTTATCTGCGTTATTTGCTGTCACTAATTTACTTTTTTGTTCTTTTACTTACTAATTTTTTTTTGTTTCAAGTTTGTAGATAGTCTTACATGTGGGATTTCTCTTTGATCTGTCTTTTCAGTCTGTTTGCTTTCAGTTAATTTTAAAGTTTCAATTTCCTACCAATCTTTTGTTGCTTTACCGTTTGCTTAATACATTACAGCTATTCATCTGCTTATGGTTAAAAACAAACAGGAGCAATCCTGCTTTTCAATACAAGTCCCTGCTCCACAAAAAAAGACTCACCAATAGGGCCAGTCTCTGATAACTTTGTCTGAGCTCCTGCATACTGTGTGATGGACTCGCACCAAGAATTTCATACCAGTCCTTTTCAAGAATATTTTCAGATGTCATTCTTCAGCTGCTTTTCACTTACGTACTGTTAGATTAGTTTCCTGAAAAGGAAAACAAACATGATAGCAATTGATTTTGGCCCTGTACATTTAAATTTTGAAGCCTGACAACATAGAACAATAAACAGACTTAAAAATGAATTGTAGAAAGCAGAATGACAATAAGATAAAGACTTCCATCAATCCAGAATTCGTCAGCAGTTGAAAGGAGAAAGATTTTTTCAGGGGCTAACAACGTATTTTCCTGCATGTATTTTTAGAATTAGGGACCTCAATGGTACCAATATTTAGCAGATAAGTTTCAATTTCACCACTTTCTTACTCTTTTTCAATTTCTCATTAACCTATCTCTGTTTGCAAATCACACGAGGCACAAAAGTTCACAGAATAGCTTTCAAAAATAAAATTTGCATGATAAACTAATGGTATGGAACTGCTGAAGAGGAAGATAGTCAAACATCTAAGGGAGGAAAAAAAGTGCCACAATCAAAATTTTAAATGTGAAAAATTGGAAAGAGGCCTTAGTAGATCATAAGCAGCAGCATGGACATTTTGAGTTGAATCCAGTTTCTATGCTATATATCCCATGTAAACCATTCTGCCTTTCTTGAGTTTACAAAGTCCCATTCTCCTACATTTTTCTTGAGCCGTTTTATATTATTCTTCACCAGTATCATTTTAAGTGCTGTAATCAATTCAGTATTATGCACCATTTGTGATAATTTGCTCCATAATTTATTCAGAGCTGTGAAAACATTTCTTCAAATCTCCCACATTGTGCATCCAAATCTTCTCAAAATTATAGCACCTAGTCTTTTATTTTGCTGTCAGTAAAAATCCTATCCATTAATACGTTCATTTATTTTATCATTCTGAACACTTTTTGAAATTGCAATGTCAATCTCTCAGATTCTGGGAATGAAAATATATTTGTTACAGCCTTTCCTTGATATTCAGCTAATCATTCGAATAATCTAACCCGCAGCTGAGGGAGCAATCTTCATTTTATGAATTTTTGTATTTTTTCTAAATCACTGCTGTAAACTACTCAGTTCCCACCAATGTCTACTTATATTTACGCACTCTGATTGATGCGCAACATTTTTAGTCACTGTTCACAAATGTGAGGTATATGCCACATCTAATTTCACTGTAAAGAATGTCAGGTTCACAGTCACTGAATCTCTTCACAGTTAACATCAAATCTCACTATGACATAGTAAAACACAAATCAAATTTAAGGTCATATTTTAAAACAAGGTTGTGATATTGAAGGAAATTCAAATTTAAATGATATTTTGCACTGTCACCAGAAATTATATTTTGCACTCTCGAAAACTTGTTTTGTAAAAACATTGCCACTTAAAACAGCACGTGAAAATTGCAATATAAGCAAAAAAAATGCTGAGAAACAGAGCAGGCCAGGCAATATCTGTGGAAAGAATTGTCATTTTATAACATGATATATTCTGATCATAGGATGCAAAATGTACAAAATCATGCAAGTTTTTTTTAAAAATTGGAACAAAGAATCAACAGCTGGATTCTGAAAGCAGTACACGTGGGGACTTTTATTGTATACTACAGGATGGCACAATACCTCACTTTGTTGCTCGAGTTAAAACATTTCTAACTGCTCCAATTCCATTCACAGAGGTTGTATCAGTTTTCATTAGTGCTACAAAGGGACAAAAAGAAAATAGCAAAATCAGAGAACAGTATGAGCCTTTTTTTAAAAAAAAAGCGAGATTACAGAGAAGCAGAAAAAATAGCTGATGCAACACAAATGAACCTCAATAGCCAATATGAAGGACTTGCAGTAGAATTCTCCAATTGGTCGATTCCAGGTTATTTCAGGAATTTAACCTAAGAACTGTGCAGAATGGCAATAAAAAGATCTTCATTTAAATTCCTTCATTCAAAACCTCAGAATTCCCACTTAGTGTGTTACAGCCAATGAAGTACCTCTGAAGTAAGTCACTGTTTTAGTGCACCAACATCATCACGATCAAATGTAATAATGTCCGAAGACTCATCAACTCGGGCAGGCTGTTTCTCAGTCATTCACTCACACTTGGAGTCTCTGATATGCCTTCATAATTTGAACTCGTAACTAGGCTATTAATCTGAATAAATTAAAGAAAAATGCAAATAACTGCTATCGACCTTGAAAGATAAAAAGGAGTTAACATAGAAAGTACAGCATAGTACAGGCCTTTTGGCCCACGATGTTGTGCCGACCTATTGTCCTACTAAGATCAATCTATCCTCCATGTGCCTATCCAAGAGTCAATCAAAAGTCTCTAAAGTATCTGACTCCACTACCACTGCTGGCAACACATTCCACATGCCCACCACTCTCCGTGTGAAGAACCTACCTCTGACATCTCCCCTATACCTTCCTCCAATCACCTTAAAATTATGCCCCCTCGTAACAGTAATTTCCGCCATGGGAAAAAGTCTCTGAATATCCACACTATCTATGCCTCTCATCATCTTGTAAACCTCTATCAAGTCACCTCTCATCCTTCTTCGCTCCAATGAAAAAAGCCCTAGCTCCCTCAACCTTTCCTCATAAGACCTGCCCTCCAGTCTAGGCAGCATCCTGGTAAATCTCCTCTGCACCCTCTCTAAAGCTTCCACATCTTTCCTGTAATGAGGTGACCAGAACTGAACACAATATTCCAAGTGTGGTCTAACCAGAGTTTTATAGAGCTGCAGCATAACCTCACGGCTCTTAAACTCAATTCCCCTGCCAATGAAAGCCAACACACCATACGCCTTCTTTACAGCCCTATCAACTTGGGTCGCAACTTTGAGGGATCTATGGACGTGGACCCCAAGATCCCTCTGTTCCTCCACACTGCGGAGAATCCTGCCATTAACCCTGTATTCCGCATTCAAATTCAACCTTAAACAAGTTAAGCAAGTTCAATTTCACAGACTTTCTACCTTTGTCTGTCTTGCAACATATAAATGTCATTTTCAGAAATTCTAGGAGTTATATACATTTGAAGTCATAGCAACCTAAAACTTGGTACATACTTTAAGAAGGGCACTTGCTCATCTACTCAGTATTAATACTGAGTGTTGCACTATGCCAAGAACCAAATCGCAAAGCAAGCAATGTTTACCACAGTAGCTATTAAAGTCAGCTATTGACATCTGTCCCAAAGGGAAACTGAACCAGAGATTTTCAACTTTCATTTTGAGCTTGCTGCTCCACTCACACTTCAAGGCATTTGAGAGCGAGCTTCAATCAGGTTCTTCTTTCAGAAGATTGGGGGGGGATCTTATAGAAACATATGAAATTATGAAGGGAATAGATAAGATAGAAGTAGAGAGGATGTTTCCACTGGCAGGTGAAGCTAGGACAAGAGGGCATAGCCTCAAGATTAGAGGGAGCAGATTTAGGACTGAATTGAGAAGGAATTTCTTCACCCAGAGGGTTGTTAATCTATGGAATTCCTTGCCCAGTGAAGTAGTTGACGCTACTTCAGTAAACATTTTTTAAAAAAAGGTAGATTTTTTTTGAACAATAAAGGAATTAAAGGATAGTGTGAGAACACACGTAAGTGGATCCGAGTCCACGAAAAGATCAGCCATGATCTTATTGAATGGCGGAGCAGGCTCGAAGGGCCAGACGGCCTACTCCTGCTCCTAGTTCTTATGTTCTTATAATGTAGAATCCACATTGATTGAAGCTTATTATATTGATATGGGCAAAGCAAGGAGGCGGGCCCCAATAATTAACACAGTCAGTATGGGTTGTTGACAGTATTCTACATTTGATCTAACCAACTCAATTAGGGAAAGTGATGACCCAGTTATGACTAGATTATTAATCCATAGACCCAGGTAACATTCTGGGGACCTGACTTCAAATCCTGTCATGGCAGATGGTGGAATCTGAATTCAAGAAAAAAATCTGGAATTAAGACTCGAATGGTGACCATGAAACCCATGTCAATTGTCAGGAAAAAAACCCATCTGGTTGACTAATGTCCTTTGGTGAAGGAAATCTGCCATCCTTACCTGCTCTGACCTACATGAGTTGCCAGACCCACAGAAATGTAGTTCACTCTTAACAATTTGCAATGGGCAATAAATTCTGGCATAGCCAGTGATGTTCATATCCCATGAAAGAATTTTTTTTAAAAATTAGAGACTCTATCTTTTTCTATCTCATCTTTTTGTTTCTTTGTGTCAACCACAATTAAGAGCAGAAATAGCCAAGTAAGACACCATTTACTTGTCAATAGTTACTTTATCAAGTCAGCTATGCTACAGAGTAAAAATACAAAGATTAATTTAACTGGTTAGATTGTCAACTTTTTAAACCCAAAACTACATAAATAGGAAATATCACACAACTCGCATTTTCAATTTTTCAGCAACAATATAGAGATACTTCTATTTAAATACCATGACCTAAATATTCCATTCTGGGTCCGAATACCTATTTCTGCCAGGCTCAGGGGAGTAAAGTGGTGTCTGGTTGGATGTCCATAGGGGAAACACATGTCTGAAGGGGTTCTTTAAAGAGGCGGCAGGGGGCCAAGGCCTGGGAGAGTTAGGGGTCTGGTCCAGAAGAGGGTGCCCAGTCAGTAGACAGTCAGTTTAACAGAAATTGGAACATGGTTCAATTCCTCTAGCTTTACTTAGGGAACTATTAAAACAGTCAGAATCCTTCAACTTTAAGTTGGACTTGTACATTTGGTTCCACATGCTGGGTAATTACCAGAGTTCACAGGAAATTCCCACAAATTCAGTTGTACTTGGGCTTCCGCATTATTCTGACAGGCAACTCTTTTGGAACATAGGATCAGTAGGCCATTCAGTCCCTCAAGTCTGTTCTGCCTTTCAATGAGATTACAACTGATCTGTCATCTAACTCCATATGCCTGCCTTGGGCCCACATCACTTGATACCCTTGTTTAATAAAAATTTGTCTATCTCAGATTTAAATTTAACAGTGGAATTACCATTAACTATTGTTTGAGGAAGAGAGTTCCAAACCTCCACTACTCTTTACATGTAGATGTGCTTTCTTACATCTCTTCTGAATGGCTTGGCCCTAATTCTTAGACTATGACCCCTGGTCCTAAAATCTTCAACTAGTGCAAATAGTTTATCTTTACCTGCCCTGTCTTTCCCTGTTAGTCTCCCGAAGACCTTCATTAGATCACCCCTTAACTTTCTACATTCTGGAGAATAAAGGCCTAATTCATATAATCTCCCCTCATAATTTAACCCCTGAAGTCCAGGTATCATCCTTGCAAGCCTGATCTGAACTTCGTCCAGGCTAAAACATCCTCCCTAAGGTGTGGTTCCCGGATCTCTAAGTGGGGTCTAACTCGGGTTTTGTTTAACTGCAGCAGAACATCTGTATCCTGTTACTCCAGCTCTCTAAAGAGGAAGGCCAACACTTCAGTAGCCTTTTTGACTATTTTCTACACCTGTTTATGGAATTTTAAAGAGCTATGCACCTGATTTGAATGCATGATGATTAGGCTCCTTTGACACAGATCTTCTTTCCTTTTTAACCAACATATAAGGAAGAAACAAGAGCCTGCTCCACCATTCAATAAGATCAGGGCTGATCTTAATATTACATTTCTACATATTCCTGATAATCTTTTATCCCCTCCGTAATCAAGAACCTATCTAGAATCAACAGTTCAGGTCTCATGTAGGGTCACTGGACCTGAAAAAACTGACTTTACTTTCTCTCCACAGTTCTGCCAACTTTCTCCAGCAATTTCTGGTCGTGTCAATATCCAGCAACGGGGGAGGCAATAGCCTAATGGTATAACATGGTGTAGAGCTGGATGAACACAGCAGGCCAAGCAGCATCAGAGGAGCAGGAAGGCTGACGTTTTGGGCCTAGACCCTTCAAATGTCAGCCTTCCTGCTCCTGTGATGCTGCTTGGCCTGCTGTGTTCATCCAGCTCTA